AAAAGGCCACGTGTTATGAGCACACCAAGGCACACTGAGTGTTTCGTAGCTGAGCAGAAACACGTTCCTTGCCTCAAGGATCTCATAATTGAGACTGAGTAACTCTATGTGAACTTTCCAACAGGCTGTTTTTCCCCTTAGTGCCAACTTCAGTATGATTGCCACTCCATTTATTTTCCAGATATTATCTGATCCAACTGTGGGTGTTGCTCTGCATTTCTGAGGTGTTCCCTCACCTCTCCCCCCACTCCTCTTCCTGTGCTGTGCCACACTGGAATTACCGTATCAACTCTTGCAAGCACACCACACCTCTCGAAACCCTCAGGTAAGTACAGCCTGCCTTGAATCACTCACTATATAGCAAAGGTCCGGAGCCAAAGACACCTAGTCAAGATTTGTTTTGTCTTTCTCAGTGAGCAGTGGGCATTATTACTAATGCATTGTTTATACTGAGCCAAAAAATATGCACAGTACTTTCCAAGCAAATTCACAACAATGACCTGCTTGAAAGAGCTTTCAGTCTGAGCACTTAAAGAGGCATAAAGCTTGTATATTTAAAAAAGCAAACAAGCTTTGGCATATACAAGTCTTGCATTCAACACAGCAAATACGTCAGTCAGTCCTTGGGAACAAGAAGTAATGAAAAATATTACTTCTCCCTACAGATTGGTCTCTCAGGTCCTTAAATCACCTTGTCTACACTTACAACACTCTAGTCAGTATTGAAAACTGTTCCTAAAGCTACATTCAAATAATGACTTGTGTGATTTGCCTAACTGGGGATTACACTAAGGTAGAGCAGGAGGCATAGAAGAACAAAAAGAAATACATTCACAGGAATAAGATCTTGAGGCTGCTATCATTAGTCTTGCAGCTTTAGCGCATGATTATTAAGACGTTCAAGTTTTACTTGCAAAGCGATGGGCACTTGTCACTCAGGAACAAGACCTTAGTATTACAATAGACAGTTCTATAAAAAGGTCATTTTCAGCACTCAACAGTGGTCAAAAAATCAAATCAAACATTACTGGCAAATGAACAGAGAATAAAAGAGAAAAAAAAAAACATTGCTCAATGATAATCCCAACCAAAGGTCTGACCCCTTCATCTCAAAAAGCAGAGACAGCAGACCGGAAAGAGATATGGAGCAGGGTGACAAGGAACAGTTCCTGCAAAGAATGGCTGAGCAGGCTGGGACTTTCAACTGAAAAAAAGAGTAGAGCTCATGGAGTACAGGAGAGAAAAGGGATATGATGGGAGTGTCCGATACCACTAATTGCATGGAGAGGAGGGATAGAGATCAACTTTTCATCACCTCTTCCAGCACAAGACTAGGGCCATTGAATGATCCAAAGAAGGTGGCTCTTCGCAAGTAAGTCCTTACTAAAGGATTGAGGTGCATGAGTTTCGAGAGTCCAGGGGAGACTGGACAGGTCCTTGGAAAATAACTCCACCAGAGGCTGCTAAACAAACCAGAACCACTTCAGGAAACCTCAAGTGGTAAATAGCTGGAGGTGGGAAGCATACCAAGAAGCAGTTATCATACATGTCTGTTGTGCTGCTACTGTTCCCTAGGCACCTACTTATGCCCGTTCTTAGAGACGCTACAGTGACAAGTGGGACCTTCTGAACCAGCACAGCCATGCTTGGGTTTTACTTGACAAGCCCAGCACAGTAGCAATACTAGAAGTAAAATGACATCTGCATTACAGTGAAGGAAATAGTTTTGAAAATGCTTTTTATTTTTAGATAGCTCAAGTTATATCTGCTTTATTAGCTAAAGCTTGCTCAAGATCTGAACACAAACTTGTATAGAATTTGGACTGACTGAAGTTTATCTTCTGCATCAAGATCCAAAGGAAAGCACGGTTCAGAATAAGATTATGCTTAATTGGGCATTATGCTCCAGTCTTACATAAAATACACTTTACTGAATCAGACCAAGTGGCTCTCTAGCTGGGCTTGGTGTACATTTCATTTTATCTCAGCTGCATACATTTGTTGTAATCTCACATACCTCACTCTGATTAAGCGTGAACGGATGTATTTTTTCCTTAAAATGGAATTGTAAAATGTCTTGTCGATCTGTTGAAAAAAGAGAAATATAAGATAACAAAAAAGAAGGGAAATGGACATATTGCTGGAAGGAACATTCAGAAAACAGCATTCAGTTACAAACTCACAGCTTACAGAGCCAAGAAACGTAATCCACTCCAGCCTCTAGATAACATTTGACATAGACTTTTCCTAACCATTCCCCATTTGGCTTAAGGCACATCATAAAAAGTTAATCCATTTTTCTAAATATCCTATGATTACATCAGTGTGCCACTATAGTGCTGTCCCATCCACTCCCAGGCATAATGAGGGATATTTATAAACATCCTTGAAACACACTGCTGCAATCTCCCAAAGCACAGCCTCCTAAAGATGTCCTACAGAAAGGATACAGCATGCTGTGCTCTGCACTGCACCAAGCCTCTCTTGTAGGGGTCCTTTCTGATACAGCACTTGTCCTTGGTCCTATAGAAATTTATAGCAAAACTACCAGTGATCTCAAATTATACCCCCCAAACACCCTTGTGATTTGGCACATGCTAGGGGAATTGTAAAGCAATTCTCATCAGAAATCGGAAATCTAGGACTCTTAAGGAATCAATGCCCAAATGACATCTTTGCTGGTACCTGCTTAACCACGTCCTGCTTTAGGCTGAATGTTGTCTCAAGATTGCGTGATCAGTCTGAGACAGCACAGTGTGATATAACATGGCATGAATTTCTGCCAGGAATGGCTCAGGATCACTCAAGTATTGAGAAATAGTGAAGTCACTAGTGAGTTATGCAGTTCCTCCTATCAGCAAGACCCAGAAAATCGAACATATCCTGTAAACTTCAAATGCATTACAGGAAGAACTACATAGAAATGCTTTACAAGACTGTCTGATTTAGCCAAGTCTCCAGACTTCCTGTCTTCCAAAGGAAAGAAAAAAGTAATGGTTCTCAAACTTCTAGTATGTTGAAATCATTCAGGTACAGAAACAAGCATGTAAGCATGAAATCTGGGGGTGATTCCTCCCAAAAAAACACAAAGCCCCTCTTTCCAGCCTTGGCTGTCAGAAGATGAAGCCTCATGTCATTACACAGTGATACTGAAGCAGAATAATTTCAAGATGAAAACTGCACATTTTATTATTTTAAGGTGATTTTAAGCACACATCAGTAAGGAAAAAAAGAAAAGTTCTTAATGGTCATGCATTGAGCTGATCTTTTATCTTGCTGTTACTGGCAGTTATCTGGAATTACTTAGGCATCTGAAACAAGACAAAATTCTATGGAAAAAAATATATCAACTGCGACAAGCTACTGCAGAAGGCAGAATACGCTTTATCCTGTCATTTCACGGATTGCCAGCTGCTACCACTGCATTTTATGAGGCATACAGTTAGAAGTCAAGAATAAAGTGTTTTGTTTCCTATAACTCTGCAGCCTGTTCCACCACCACGCCCCTTGGTTACTGGAAGTATTTGCCCTCAGACAAAAAGTTTGGGTTTTTTTTAATGATAATATTTCTTTATCGTTTCTGTCAGTGTTAACTGCTTCACTGATGATTGTGTAAGCAGAAGCATGTAGTTAAGCAGCACTGCCAGCTTTGTAGCATATGCTATCTTTGACTGCACTGCCTCTGAGAACTTTTGAGATCTTTGGGACAGGGACTTCTTTGCAGAGTGCTTTGCAAACAAAAGAGAGCCTTGAGATGGGCTGAGGTAAACCTCAACCTTCTACATTGCTAAAGAGTAAAGCGAAAGCAGGTTGACTTTAAGCTTGGGACTGAAGAGGGCAAGAATTCACAATCCCTTGCAAGAGAGGGCTCAGTCAATATGACATTCCTGAATCCTTGATCTCCTCCTGGCAATTGTGTTTCCAAGCTATCTGTACTCATCTCAGAGATTGCAAGTGGTTTTGCTACACTGTCCACTTGCATTTGCAGCAGATACAGGGATCCTTACTTCTGTCACCGGTTCTCTTGTGTACCCTTGCTAAAACCTGAGCAGCTCATGTGATTGTGTTTTTTGTACTCCCGACATGTTCAGCTTTCTCCTTTTCTCCTCACCCTGGACCACTTCCTAGATGTTCTATACAGTCTGACCAGGAACACCACATGCTGCAGCAAAGAAAGATTTCCAGTGGCATCTGACAAAACACAATGACACACACTGCTTTTTACAGAAATAATCTAAGGAGTCCAAATGCAACTGAACTATCAGCAGCAGACATTGTTTTCAGAAAATTCAATCCAAAAGGCATGTTAGTTATTTTTATGGAGACAACAGTAAGCATATGATTTAAAATTATACCAAAATTACTGGATTTGTGTTACTTCTATTCTCTTTCTCAATTTCATATCTGAATGAGAAAGTAGCCACTTTTCTCTTCCTGTTACATACTGTCACTAACTTTCCCATCCTTAAGAGTTGCCTTAGTACCACATCACCAATAAATAAAAAAAGACTACTGGACAGTGGTTTTGTTTCCAGTGATACTTGCAGGGCCTTTAACACCTTCAAACTTGACCTGGTATTTTTTACTTTTGTAATCTGCTGTATCAGGAAAGACATGGTAGCCCAACCTCTGCACTGTGGCCCCTATCTCTCACCTGCTGATGAATTCATTTGACAGATATGAATCTATCCCAAATCTCCTCTTTCCTTCAACGATGATTTTGGTAACCTGAATTATTAACAGTAATCTTTATATTCAAACAGAGTTTATGTAAGAGGAAAACATGTAGCAAGATGCCTTCAGATAACAACTTTCAAAGATTAATGTTGTGTCTCATGTTTTTACTGTTCATCTTCTGGTGAAGCCTTTCACACCCATATCAAACAGTAAACTTTTCTCTCGAGCCTGCTTATAGCTTTCTTTTCAGCTTGAGTCACAACCCTGGAAGCAAAAGCAACTAGAACTTTGTCCGGTAACTAGGTGGGACCCGGTCTGCCTGGGTGAAGCATCTACACTCATTTTAAGCATTTTGCTTTGATTACAGCCACTCAAAAGTGACACTGTCATGACCAGATCCCTTAAATTCACCACTGATTAAGTGCATCTCACTTGTTTTCCTGGCCCTTGTCTAGCAACTGTTCAATGGTGACAGTTGCTGCTGCAGGCAAGGTCTATAAGCATTCTTAACCAAGTGCCAAGTCCTGCTCCTTTCAAGTGAGCAGCATTTTCCTGACAGCCTTTATTTTAGCATTTGTCCAAACAAGATTTTCTTTAAGTTAATGTTTGCTGGCTAGTTTAGCTTAATGCCACCTGGTATTTCCTCAATTTAGTTCCATATCCTCTATCCTTTTTATAAAACTTGTCTCCATGCAGTATAATTTTCTAAGACAAGTTAGACTTCACTCTTGAACACTGGTCCATCTATGCCAATATAGTAACTAATAGCGGCTAGTACCAAAGATGTAATAAGAGGGCAAAAACATTCCCATCTGTACAAACCCAGCCACAAAGGAAATTCTTTCTTGTTCCCTGCAGCCAGAAGTTGCTTTACACCTTGATGAACCAGACTTGTTTTCCTATCCTATCTTGAATAACTCCGGATCTCTTTCCTCTTTTTCTTGTGTTGCACCATGGCCAATCCTCTAAGGCCTGTGAGCAACCTACTAAAATCTTTATGATTTCAGAGTCACCCAATATGCCCTGCCTCCCTGGGACCCAAAAAAACCCCAAGCTCTGGAAGTAGATCACATGCAACAGGGATCCCATCGCTCCAGTGTAGGACAGGGCTGACATGAGCTGGGCTTGCCCAGATGTGTAGCTGGGTCTGGAAGTGACCCAGCAAGGTTGGCTGTGTCAGCCCTTGCTTTCTCCCACCCTGCCACTGCACGCAGGGTAACAGGATTTATCAAAAAAGTTATCTTAAATCTAGTTTGACAGAACTTTCCTCTGGAATATTTGCTGAACCCACTGAATTCCTTGCGTGGGACATTCAAAAGCATTCAGTAGGTTTGGGAGCACAAATCCTCTTGTTGCTCAATACTATTGTTCTTTTGCCTGCTGCCAGTTTAGTCCTTCAACAGCTATCCTCATACTACCTTCTGCCTCATGCCTCCCTAGCTCTTTAGGATGTAAAGCCTATTATCAGTGATTTTTAAAGTTTTTTGACCATAAATATTAATTGGAACATACCACCTGGTTCAGTTGACTCTCTCCAGTTTTGTGGCAAGCATACAATATGAATTACTATTCATCAGTTGTGTTAATTCTGTACCTAGCACCCAACTTGCTAGCCAATTTGCATCCAATTTACAGCTCATCCTGCTGAGACCCCCAGAGCTGACCATAATGCAAATCCAGTAGGAGCTCCCTTGAGAACCTGACATATCTCCTGCCCAGGTTTCAACTGAGGGGTTAGTTGGGAACCCTACCAGAGATTAGAAAGAGAGAGGGCAGGAGGAGAAGGACATACAAGGCCAGCAAAAACTGAACCTGGCACTGTCCCAAACCAGGATGGAGACATCACACTCCCCTTAGAAACAGAGATACCAATCACTCACAGCAGCGACAGCCCTACAGCCACAGTGCTTGCCCGAGGCAAAGAAAATGGACCTGAAGGAGAGCGAGTGTAATGATCCAGAGGCCTCCAAGCAAACCAGAAGATCAGAAACTTTAACTTTCCCATCAGAAACCACACATACACAAAGACAGCATGTGTCACGGCGGGCAAGAGCAGTATGATCCCATACATCTGCAAATGGTATCACAAACTCTTTACAGAGTTTAAACTAACAGGACTGCTAAAGCTGGGAGGTGAGTAAGCACTATCTGAATTTGCACTAAAATAAGGAGCTCAGCTGGATGGTTCTTGGAGGCGTCGGCTGCAAAAGAGAAATAACTGACCTTATACAATAGTTCCTAAAAAGATTGGTCTTTCGGATAAAAGAAATTAAGAGGACTAATACATGGGATAACGTCAGGATTTAAAGTACCATGCTTATACCTAGTGCAACCAATTTCAAAGGCATGTAATGGCATGAGAGTTTCATTATAGCCATGTAATAGTGACAGCTGGAATTAAGGTCACC